CCGACCGAATTTTTTTTCAAGTAGCCGACAGATTTTCATATAGCGGACCAATTGTATATATGGGCCACAGTAGTAATCGATAAACATGTAATTACGGAGTCGACTCATTGTGAATATCTGACATCTGATGAATTCTATTTTTTCGAAGTAATCCAATTTGTGGCCTTTATATAATTCGATAGAACTCGGTAATATTTTGTAAATAAAGATTTTCCCACTTCAGCTAACTAAAGGGACAGCTCATAGCATAATGACATCATGTATGCTTTTTATTTCACTCGAAGTTGCAGTATTATTTAGGATAAACAATTTGCATGTTTTAATAATTGTATTCAGTAGTGAAAATTTCTTAATCTTTTAACCGTGGGACACATCCCTGGTAATCCTGTGATCGAACCAACGGCTGCAGCGATTGGTGATTGCATTTTTATTCTGATACATCTTATAGTTTTATGGAAGTTTTGTAAGATTTTGTAGGAAAAGGGAAGGAGACAGCGAGATTTTATCTCAGCTGACCGTTTAGATGAATAAAGCTGGACTATCTGAAATGAGCTATGTGTATTCCTTTGGATTGAACTTGGTACCTCTACGGTGTAAAAAATGCTAAATATGCATACATACGACATAAGATGGCGCGTGGTGACTTTTTTTTTTATTTCTTGAATCTATAATAACTATAGTAAAATCTAGTAATCCCGATATATGTGAGACATCATTTTCAATTCTGTCAACCTCAACAGGTTCGCGCAATTTAATTGACCTCAGTAAAGGCCACCGATTGAAATGACACCGTAAAGACCGTAAATCCTGTCACCAGGCGTATAATGATAAAACGTGCTCTTTAATCGTATGAGAGTTAACTGATAGTACTATTTCTTGGTGAACGGTAATTATTTATGCAAATAAGACAAGCCGCCCTACGACGTTTAATTACAGTGTGATATTGAATTTATTTAACAAGTGTAGCAATCCAAGCCTTTGACTATAAACATATGCAAATTACTACTGGAGTTGCTAGTGCACGGCGACGAACTGGAGATCCTATTTATCCTATGTCAAACACTCAATTAACAATGAATTGCCAGTGAAATAAGCTATATGTAGGCATCACACTTTCGAATTCCTTATATCAACCAAATCAAATCATTGATAACCTATTAGTTATCAAGTGAGGGGTATAAACAAATCCAAGGAACCGTATTGCATTAAACTGGCGAGAAACATGAAATAAAACAGGGTATAAAATTAGTAATTCTACAATATATTATTTATTAAAATGCATTTGTTCCCGTCGGCTAAATTTCATGGCAATGTGTGAATCACAAAACTATTAATTTTCATGCCAGACCTGGGGCAATCGAGTTTTACTGCATTGACTCATTTAATGAATATGATATTATATTCTCCTAGGTGGTAACTAACTAAATGATCCTGTTTTAAAAATCACTTGTGGCAAACTATGAATCCATTACTGGTATCTATCCAATACATACTGAGGTAATCCGAACGTATTTTCTACTGTTATCAACGTATATTTTTAATACGTATATATCTAGTGGATCCATTTTAGATTGCGCCTGGTATTATCTGAAAATAATATTAATAATTATTTGTAGCAAAGGACGAAATTATGGTAATTGCTCAGTTGCGGGTGGATTTCGAGTGTACATGAGTAAATATCTCAAATGTTTTTGCTCCTGAATATTTTTCTCTTAAAAACTATGGTGTAATTTGTTTTACTGTTAACAATTTTTTTATCAATATATAATAATTCTAAGTGATACAATTGCCGTATGCATAGACGTATCAGGCGTTCTCCACACGTGTCAGGGGGGAATCTCGTCTCGTCTCTATATCTCGTCCCCTTGAGGTACGGGATCGGGAAAGTCACTTAAACTTTACAGTCAAATAAGACACACACAACGAAATACGTTTCAGCTCTCGTCTTAGTCGGTCAGCCGAGCACTCTATAAGACACAGTGCCCTGGGGAGAAGTCCCCAAGACTATCGCAAGGCTGACCCAAGACTCCCTAGACTGCGTCAAGACTCTCCCCAATGCTCTCCAGGACTGGACTGCGTCTATCGTGGTGTACTCGCCAAGACCAACCCAAACTCTCTTTATTCATTTTCAAAACCTTAACCAATTACAAAGCAGTTAAAAGACTCTAAGACGTAACCTTCAATCATAAAGCCAATCACATTAAGTACTGAATACGTCATATCTTTTGATTAATCGTTCACTACATTAATAACTACGAATACCAACTGTCAGAATTAATAGTCAGAATAGCGACGGTTATCTCGTAATTACTTCCAAATCACTGAGCCAAGTTCCGTCCAAAACTACAAATAGGTCTAAACGATGACAGACATAACACAACAATTCGCTAATAATCAGCTAATTAAGTCGGTCAACAGATACGCGAAAACAAATTATTTTATTATTATTTTATTAATTATTTATTATGGTAGCATTTAAATGGTTGGTTGCCTTATATTTTCTCACTTTATACCAAGAGTACTAATCAGCCTACTAGTATGCGGAAGCGTAATTATTGTCTGATCAGACTTTGTGATTATTTATTGTGATTTATCATTTGATGACAATTTTGGAAAACACATATTGACATAATGTTTGGTAAAGTGAACATTTTGATTACCAAAAATATGACTAAAGATGAGGTTAGGCATGGTAAAATTAAATAAACAGATTTTGTATTAGATGATATTCTAGAAACAAATTTGTAAAATCAAATTACTGACGCATAGCTTGCTGCAATTTTATAGCTGAATGCAATTATTTCGACTAAAATCCCAAGATCTATAATCATTAAAAAAGGAATAACTAAAATAAAAATGCCTGTGATTACTCCAACTTTCCTAATCCCATACGCACTCTCTAATGGGAAAAATACAAACACGTTAGAGTAAGCCAGATACTTTAGTCGTATATCAGTTTACCACAAGCCTATTGATCTCATCCTTGTTTTGTTTGCTTCTGGATTGAATCATAACTTTCAATCAAGACTCACGGAGAGGTTATCGCTGCTGGCATGTTTCACGTTTCATTGCTTGAGCGAGGTTTTGTGAAATGAATATGTTAATGACATTAGATACGTTTCGAGTGAAGTACTATTTGTCTAGACTTATTACTAAATTTTCTACGCACTCAACATTTGCAGTAAATGTCAAAGCACATTTGTATTTTGCTCTTATGTTTTCCAAGCTTGGGTTTCTCACGATATTGTAAAACATTCTGAAATACGTCTCGAAACTCCAATTCGATTTTTTTGATCGTGTTGTCAAAATTAACATTTCCTACATTTGTTTTGCAGGCGACATCCAACTAATCAGTAATTCCCCTATCACTGAAATTATGGCATTTACTCTCTACGATGTCTGATGTGTTTGCTGTATGGATGTTCCTATTCGGAAATAGAACATTTCGAATTTTTTAAGATTCCCATTTCGTACAATAAGATCAAGACATCTGATTTACTTCAGAGTGTCTACAATATGTCATCGATTAAGCGATCGTGAACTTAATGACAGAGAATTTGGATATTTTCTCTCGAACACAACTCGCTTCCTTTTGTCTATGTAGTTAATTCAATAAAATAAATGAAATCATTACCATTTGAACTTTCAACCTCGTTCGCATTGATTAGTGATACGATATATTCGTGGTCATATTGATTACATGACAGTGTTATGGGGCTGCTAACAAGTAAATGATGCCTTCAATAATATTGTGAAGCGGTCTTAACGGTTACCTTATAAAGGAAGCAGGATTGCATCAAATTCAAATTTATCCCGTGGCGTGTATCACATTTGCTGTGTGAGGGCCCAAACGTCTATTCATATCGTATAGTTGTACATTATGGTGCACTTTAATTAAAATCCAATTAATATTATTACGAACAAATCATGGTATCAATGAAGAATTCTCTTGGCGATTTTCAGGTACAAAATAATAGAAACTCATACCCCAGGAGTCTCGGGTGATATTTCTCACACTCATTGGAATTTTGTCATGTGAGGCAAAAAAGATCTAACTCTTGTGTGAAATCTCCTCCCATGCCCGTGGTGTTGTGAATCTTTGTTTTTAACATCACATAAAAATACGTTTTTCGTTAATATAAACAGAGAAAAGAAACTTGTTATGTGTTTAGAGTAGATGCAATCCGGCTCCTCAATGTAGTGGATATATTATTCAATACCACAAAATGTACTCCTTATCATCTACTAAATGTATGATATACATGTCAACAACCAAGTTCAGTTATCGAAACTACCTCACATTGCTTGATATACCTCACAGTGCAATTCAGATGACATACGTCACGGTGGTTTTCCCATCACAGACGTCACGATGGAGTTCCGATCTTAAACATTACAGTGGATTTCTGATCACAGACATTAAAGTTTCGCTTTATTATAAAAGATGGTGTTTTCAATTGATTCAGTCACTAAAACAACGTAGTAGTTTGGCTTGGCTTGTAATATCAGTAACTCATTCAAGCGAGGAAAATACATTCAAATTACAATATTCAGAAACTTAATATTATATTAACACGTAGAAGAGTTTAACTGTAGTTTAAAATGTCACATATTATGAATTCTTGTGATTAATAAATTCACGATAGCATTTAGCAAATGACAGAAAATGGGAATTGTATCGGTGTTGAAAAAAACAAATCTTGACTCAACACACATTACACTACTACTGAAAGAATAAATACTTTATTTTTGGATTGATTTAATATTATTGTTCATCAATATAGCTCGTTTGACCTATGATCATTGACGTGTACGCGTGCGTACTTTTAATATGGTGAATACAGATGTGCGTGGGGTTACTTAATGTACACGCCCTCACAGTAACAACATTAACGTCACATGATCTTATATTTGCTAAAGTATCACTTTCCGCTCGGCAAAATAAGAGTGATCAGAGCTTCACTAGTGTTATCAGTTACTATCACACTGTAGCCGGCAACATGTCTGAAACAACCGATACAGCACCGACTAATGCATTGACCGAAATTATGAACGTAACCGATGTTACGTACGACTACTATGAAGGCGACCCACCAGTAAGAGTAGAGACTTGGTTAGTACCTCTCATATTTGGTACGATATGCCTGATCGGTATTGTTGGGAATGCTTTGGTGATTGTTGTGATATTGAAGAACAAGCAGATGCGAACTGTCACCAATTACTATATACTGAACCTGGCAATATCTGACGTCGCCTATCTTACATGTGCAGTGCCGTTCAGCGCCACGTCTCACGTTTCAGAATGGGTATTTGGGGAATTCATGTGCAAATTCAGCTTTTACGCTATACAGGTGAGTAAATCCACCAAAGAGGTGCAACGTTATTTTACAGTGAGCTGATAATGATGGTTCATCATATGTTTAGCAGGTCGGCCGTCATTGCTAAGGAAAACAGACAAATGCACGAGCTCCCGGTCGTAGTATACGTGTTCTATATTTATACGGCTCATTTTCCCTAAGCTTTTTCCACCTCTCCGTAATCTGTGAACACGTGTGAAGTTTATTGTGTGTAGTGGAGAGCGTTGTACGTTTTAAATCATTTGTTTACATATTAATTATTTATTTAAGTGTAGTTGTGCTGAACACAGAATCAAATCTAGGTTCCATTGTCTCTAATCGTATGTATGATGTTGTCGTAGTATAGCTGTATTTCAAGTGTTTATGCGTTTTCAATTCAACTTGTAATTAATATGCGCATTTAAAAAATAAGAGTAGTTCAACGAGTAGGTCATATCATAACCAGTAGATTGATAGAAGACGATGTTTATTTCAATACACAAATAAAGCATTGTGTTAAAACCTTTAATTTTTTATTATATGAGTATTGTGTTAGAGGCTAATTCAGTTTTGATGACGTAAAACTCGTATTTAATGGTTTCACGATAATCAGTAGAGCGTTTTTACGACATGATATGTGAAAATAAAAATAAACTGCCGTAAATCGGATGAAATGTTCGCAAACTTGCACACGAAAACCTTTTTATAAATAAAGAAGTTATACAGCTCTCAACTGAACCTGCTTCTTGCCCCTGTACACACGAAATTGCCTATACACTTAAAACAATTACATTCCGTCTTGTACACTAAACACCTGCGTTCGTTCGCATGGGCAGTTTATTCTCCGGCTTAGCAATTTTACACTTCATTACACTCACCACGTCATACAAAAGTCATCAGTTAGTTTCCTTTCTTATTGAACAGAAATGCGTCTTGCTAAACAATTACGACAAAAATATGAACAGTTGGTACTTTTATTTGTTTTTATTCGTTTGCATCAACAATTTATGGCCAGTTTCGCAACGTTTATAACCGAGTAAAATACGAACATCCGGTTCTGTATGGGGATAATTAGGATACAGTCAAATAATGAAATGGTTCATCCTTTGGAAAGATTACAAACAATATTTCCGACTGAATTATTAAATAAGTTTCTGTAAGTAATGCATTATATGATACGCGATTATCTGCAGGAAACCTGATAACACGTAAGATTTCAAAAGTAGTAGAGATTAAAAATTGCAAAATACATTTTTTATGGTTGGTTAACATTTTTTCTCTGCACTAATAAATTTGACACCGAAAGCTGATTCCAGACAATTTAACTCTTATACTGATTTTTGCTAATGCTTAATATGTCTGGAACATATGTTTTTAAATACTTTAATTTAGTTCCATGTGGTGAATGATAGAACGATGAAACAAATGAGGAAACACTGGGAGGTTAGGTACACGAGTTACAGGAATTACCATGGCAATCAATCTCTTATATTGAGAACGTCGGGATTATTGAACGGGAGCCAAATACGTGGAATTGCACATTCTAGGGGAATGATTGATCATTGGAAGAGATATCTTCATATACTCATCAGCTGCAATCACAACATTTTCGCCCTTGTAAGACAAAGTTCGAAATGCTTACTTACGTTTTAGGCCTGTGTTTGTCCTTTAGTATGCGTGTGCGTGTCGTTTCCGTCCATTTATTTCTCAGACATTCCTGTCGTAATAACGTAATAACGCACGTCCATTTATTTCTAGCGTCGTTGACCTTTGATCAACTGTAAAAAACACCAACACATTTGAATAAACCATTCTGTTCGACATGCCTGGGACAACGTCGTTCAAACTCTGCATTGACATCGCCCAAGATGGCTTACTGATGCATTTCTTAGTCTATTCAGGATTGTTATCCGTTACCCAGATTCACTTTCATAGATTTTGCCGAAATTTAGTCTAAAGACAAAATATAATTGGGTGCATGATTTTTTTTAGATATTAATAAGATTTAACCGACTGTTTAAAAATAAAATTTGAACATACAGCCAACTCATTTGATTAGTCGTTTTTCTAACAAAAAATACACAAAAACATTACTCTGTCATCAACTTTGTACTAGGCTTGCCTTGGTTGATTTTATTCGAGAAGTGCCTGAATGTGACGTATAGTGGGTTACTGATACGCGTCAGTTGTTTCAAAATAATCGATTGGTGGTCATGTTAGTTTCATTTTACTGCCGGTAACACCTAATCAAAGCGAAATAATCGACATAGTCATCAGAGACGATTGCAGTAAGTGTTAAGTAATAATAATAATAATAATAATAATAATAATAATAATAATAATAATAATAATAATAATAATAATAATAATACTGCGAGTGTTTCTCCGATGAGCATTGCATGGTGTTTACATCAATGCGAAAGTTTTGCATTTTATTTTACATACTGTCGTCAAATATCAGCCAGGCACGGGGCCGGCTGTGTTTGGTCTGAAGTTCGGTATACACTTACAGTTTTGGTTTCGAAGAAAACAAACAATATGCGCCTCTTCCCGCCATAGTCACGTAGTATATTTTTGTCACAGTGAACGCGATCCAGACGACGCGGGCGTAGTTAATTTTCAATGACTTCTCTGTTTCTCCTTTTAAAGGGCGGAGTCGTCGCGCCGCGCATGTGTGACATTTGTGTTGATCAACATTGAATTTCCCACAATCCAATGCGCTTTTCTA